TCCACCGGATAACAATTAACCACGAAAAAAAAAAAACAAGTTAGCTGACTGTTTTAATAACGAAACTAAGGAGTTTTAGAAAATGACAAAATCAATCGGTAACAATTCTGTGAAGAATCTTTTTTCGACGAAAGATCAATTTCTTTCAAGGAATAAGCCGCTCGAAATTATCAATTTTTCCGGTAAAAACTTGAAACGAACCTTTATGCTTCCCGTCCCAAATCGATTTTAAGCTTATTACAGAGTACAAAGACAAAAAAAGAAAGATAACGTAAAGTCTGGAGCAATAGAGTACGCGCTCTTTTTCTTCTTATTAAGCAGAATACACAAATTTTTCTCCTGTTCAGGCAAAGGAGTGTATCAACTTTGTACCGCGCCGCGTCGTCGACGGCCCTTTGAAGAATTCGAGAAAGCAGCTTTTCCGTGAATGCCACAAACGGCATGGCTGGCTAACGAAAGGGATATTTTCCATAATTCCGTACCGCTTCTTTTCCCGATGGAATTCAGCGTATAAGAGTATGTATCAAAGAGACTTCCTCAAAGACCGTGTGTCAACGCATCTTTCTGAGTTTTCGAGCGCCACCTTCGGCCAAACCATGATTCTTTTATTCTTAATGCACACTTTTTAAGATGATTCGAATAAATAAAAAGGTAGAATACATATATTTGTTTTCACATCGTTTAAATCGAAGTAAGTACAAAGAAGGTACGTTTGTACCTACGAGAAATAAAAATAATTGGTAATAAACATATTTTTCTTTTACTTTTTTTCCTAACTTGTCGACTCGTGTTAAATCTCAATTACGAGTTCACTGGTCTGAAAATCTCTGTCAGAAGCAATCCAGAAACTCGAAGCTAATTATCGTCAGGGGGAGAATGAAGGCGTGAAATTTCGACCCGGGAACCCTTGAAACTCGACGTAGAAATTTTCATTGTCAACATTATAAATTCAGAGTCGTAACGCCCCGGCGGCGGCGCGGCGGCGCGGCGGCGCGGCGGCGTTTCAGGGATTTCGTAGAACTGCACTCGGAAAATGAATATTATTAGCTTTAATTTTATGCAAAGAGGTTAAGGAGGTTACCAGCCAGAGCCTCTGTCTCTCGTTTTTCTCCAACCCACTAACCTGCTCTTTCTCCACCCCTTTAGCGAGTACGGTTTAACTTTTAATAATAATCAGCGAGATGCCAGAAGCTCGTGTCGGCGTTTGTGGAAGCTGCTTTTTGGCCTCTACTTTATAAGGATTCGTTCTTCTAAAAGGATAATCGTGTCCAGTCGGCTGGAAAGCATTTTACCATCACGGCTTAGGGACTCGTCCGTGATATTGGCTCGACTTTAACCGAATTTCACTCATTTCTAATCGACTGATCGAAGGTAACGCGATTTCCAATTGATACAAAACATTATCAGCATTTGAATCGGAGAATTATTATCGCACACGAATTTTTTATCTAAGTACACGAGATTCTCACGAATGATACGGATGCCACGAATACTTATCCGTTACCAGTTTTAATCATCGATATCGATATTAGCAAAATTAACGAAACGTTTCGTTTCAAGCTCACGTTTTTCGATAGGGACGCGCCGAAAAGCAGCCTTATTTTGCTGTTTTCGAAAGGTAGGAACAACGCTGGTCTAGGAAAGTTTGAAACGAACGAGTAGCGTAAAGTCTGCAACTGGGACGTCTAACGAGCCACCGAGTGACTCGCAGTTGTTCACCTATTTAAATAAGACCGACGATGGTAATGAGAATGCAAATGACACGGCACAACCGAGCTAGCTTTACTGCACACGTCAGGGAATGGTAAAAGAGAACTTTCTACGAGCACGAGTACCCGAAGACGCGTGTCTTGCCACTTTGTTATCGTATCGGACGACTTGTGGTGGAATTTCAATGAACAGCCTTTAATCAGAATGAACTTGGATTAAAGGCATTTCATTAATATTCTGCTACTTTTCTTTATTTCTCCAGACATCATCCGATATCGGTCGTTTCGAATCTCCAAAACTGATGAAATCACTTATACATGTACATATGTATAATATTTATATTAATTGAAATATTTAGTTGTGATTAATTAGATTACAGATATTGAAGATAAAAATATATCTATCTGCAGATAGAGATCGACAAATATTAGGAGAATACATAGATACATAGAATATATTGGAACGAGTGTGCATTTTCAGCCAGCGCAGCGGCTAGAGAAATTTTTAAAACGTCGATTTTAATATATCGCAGTTCAATGTTCGCCATAGACTCGTGTATCTTTATCCTCCTGGCTATGAATATTGTCCTCGAGGTAAACCTATCGATCCAACAGCAGGAGAACGTAAACAGAATATAGTCGAGATTTTTATACCAGGTATATTCTCCCGCCCTCTTTCTTTCACTCTGTCTCTCTTGAGAGAAAACGAAAGAATATTTATATTCCTTTGAAAGGTCGAAACGAAATTCGTCTAGTTTCGATCGGTAAAATCAATTCCGTCCCTTCCGTTAATCGAGATATATTATACATATACATATGTTATTATTAAACTGTTTGCTAAAGTAAAACAGTTGAAATATCGCAAACAGCAGGACAAATGGGAGACGAGGCGAAGCTCATTGTCAGACGAGCACGCAGAGGATGCTATAATTTCTATTTCGTCTGGTGAATCCCGAAGAACCAAAGTGCACTTGAGCTTCCATTACCGGAGTTTCGTAAAGCAGAATTGACTTTGCGTTGTGAGAGCAAGTTTCAAACTGATCAGAATTAGGAAACAGGGAAAGAGCCTCTACATTCATGGGAGCGGAATTCATTACCGAAACTTCACTCGATTGACACACATAAGTATTATATATAGAGTTGGTTATATCTGTATGCCGAAGCGAAACTCTTTGATAAATCTTGATAACGAATCATCGAACCGTTCGAACGTTTTCTTACTTAAACATTACCAAAAAGTTTCAACGAATTTCGATATTTCTATTGTTTTTATTTCTCTCAGGTTTTCTAAAAGTTTCTTTGATTTTCTACTTCGGATCTGTCGAGATGAGGGAATCGATTGCTATCCGCTACTGTGTCTCGGCCATGGAAACACGAGCAGACTCTGGAAACGTTTTCGTCCATTAAGACCGCAGGAAAATTGAATTCCGGCGCGGCGACAGGCAGCGCGCAAGCTCGGATTAAATCGTTGCGGTGTTGAATTGAAACCGCGTTCGCTAATGAAGCGCGCTGCTTTGAATATAAAAGGCCACGAAACCCTTTCGACCTTCGTCGTGCGACATCCTCCACATAGGAAAGAAAGACTTTGCTAGAGGTTTTGCGCTTCGAACGATCCAATTACCGGAGTAATCGCCGTCCCGTGAATGGAATATTTTATCAATAGATAATACATATTATTCGCTTTCGCTTTCGCTTTCCGAAAATCTACTCGTCAATTTCATTCGCGCATTTCAAGCTAGCGGATGTTGTTTGGAGATGTTGTTTCAACTATCACAGCGACGCTTAATTAAATACGCCACGAGCTGTATATTTATTAACCCGTAGGATATTTCGGTCTGTTCGTATACGACTGCGACGCATGCTAGTCGAGAGATACAACGAACGACCCGTTTGTATCCTCCTGTACACTTCTCAGGACATTAATAGACGCCGAAACGAGGAATGTAATAACATGACCGGTAGTAATCTATGCACGTACCATAATATGTGAACATAATTTCAGTTTCTCCCATCCAATGTTGCTGTTGCAAATAGTCAAGTGACGTATGATACGTTTTTGAAGCAGCTCCTCTAGAGTGAGAAAGTTAAACAACTGCAAAAACTGTAACCGTATCTAATCGTAAATTTCGAATAACGTTTCAAGCATTACAGGTGTAAGGGTAGATATACATAAATAAACTGGGCTGCAGTAGGTACATACGCGTAATTAGGCTTTGGTCGCACGCAACCACGAGTGATTAAAAACTTGCATTACGCGTGTGCATTAATTAGAAAGCTAGAACCTCTATGGGACATAGTGGCAGAGAAAATATTGATTTTTCTCTTTCATAGCCGTCTATGACCTACTCACTAACCTAAACCTAACCTTTTTGCTACACTCAATCCCTAACAAACTTGCCTCCTGTGATTCTATCTACTGTATAGGTATAAAAACATGTAGTAATCGTGCTTTAATTTTCAAAGAAATCACATTTGCCCATAAAAGAAAGAAAGAAAGAAAAGACTTTCTATCTGGTTGATATTTGAACAAACGTTACACGTGGTCGTTTTCGTTTTCGTTCTCGTTCTTTTTGATTTTTTGCGAACCGATACGATGTCCTGAAACCCTGTCCTCGAACCGATCCGACCATATTTTCTCGAGCGTGGGGCGATGCGATCGTGTGTGTGACAGGATCCAAGCCTCCAAGATTTACCATGGACGTTAAATTACGACCGGATCATCTTGGGGATCATGATCTTTTGTAACGGGATAAAGCAACGAAAAGCGTGAAAATTCGCGTTTGATATACAAAAATGTCATTTTTAAGAGAAATATTGACGATATTGACCATCTTGACTTTACCACTTTCTTTAAATCCCTATATAAAGATTTCAATGTTTTATACTATTTCAACTGGTAAATAGTCGAGTTATAGCCGACTCTATTTGCCTAACGATAGCCAGTCATATTCTACTTACCCATTTATGTACCTGCAATGGCAATGTACGCCTGCGTTAGGGAACGGTCTTGTTCTACTTTCCGTGTCAAGTACAGTCTCGCCACTATTTGTCGATTCAAGAGCCATATGATTCTACTTGCTCAAGTATCCACCCTTCACCGTGTATTTACCCGCCTAGTAACAAATCTATTCTACCCACCATGGGTCTAGTTCGTTTTACCTTGTTTTTACAATGGAATTGTATCAGGGAAATAACGGCAATTTATTTTGATCGACTTATCAGTCTCGTTTACCTGGCCGCGGATTATCAAGAATTCTAAAGAATTAATCTCGAGAAATGTTCTGTTTGCAGGGCGAAAGGCAGCGAGGGTCGTTTAAAGGAACGATGAGCGAATCGGGACGAGGAGCGAGGAACAAGAAATCGGCGCGATAATAATATGTGGACGACGTGGCCACGTACGAAGCGCAAGAGGCGGGAGGCGAGCTCGTCGTCGCGTGCCGGACACGATACTCGTGGAGGTAGCGGTGGAGGTGGTGAAGGTTTTCGTTTCATCTATTCGGTGGTATTGGCGGCCTGTATGGCAGCACAAGAGGCGAGAAGCGCGAAATGTCCGCCGCCAGACACGATACCCGGTTGTCCTTGCTATAATTTCGAGGACGGTCTGTTCTTGGAGTGCGCCGGTGTCACCGAGGAGTCCCTAAGGAGCGCTTTGTCGGGTGTAATACACGCAGCTGAAGGAGAAGGTACGTGGCAGCACATTCTATGACGAGCGAATACATTATGTTATGGTATAAATTTCTATCCTTCCTCGATAGAGAGCCGAATTGAATAATTTTCAGATAAATCACTGGTGTAAATCTAATGGGAACGCGTAATCGTAATTGTTTCAGGAGCGATAGTTCAATCGTTAAGCGTTTACGAGTTAGACAGAAAGGTGGAGGAGCTTCGATCGGCTGCTTTTCCAACTGGCTCTCAGATCAGACACCTACAGATATCGCACTCGGCGATTCGCGAGATAAGCGAGGATGCGTTCAAACGAGTGGGAAAAAGTCTGGAATCGTTGGCCCTGGTTTCAGGCCGACTGCCTCACGTGCCGCAAAAAGCCATGTCCAGCTTGAATTCTTTAAAGGCTCTCGACTTGGAGGCGAACCTGGTGCACGAGCTTCTTAGCTACAGTTTCTACGGTCTTTCTTTGATCAAACTAAACCTGAAAGGGAATCAGATAACAAAAATCTCCGAGTACGCGTTTGCCGGCCTAGAAGACACGCTGACCGACTTGGATCTGGCTGAGAATAAAATCCGTCTATTCCCTATGACGTCCCTCCGCAGACTGGAACATCTGACTTCTTTGAGACTCGCCTGGAACGAGGTATCCGAGCTTCCCGAAGACGGCTATTCCAGGCTAGACGCGTTAAACTTTCTCGACCTAAGTAGCAACAACTTTAAAAAGATACCGCTCAACTGTTTCCGTTGTTGCCCGTCCCTCAAGACCCTATCCCTCTACTACAACGCCGTCGAGTTTGTCGATAAGGACGCGTTCATATCGTTAATCGATCTCGAGTCGATCGATCTTAGCCACAACAAGATCGTCTCTCTGGACGTGTCAACGTTCAGAGCGAATCAGAGGCTGAGATCGATCGATCTGAGCCACAATCACATTCATTATATACGCGGAGTGTTCTCGAAACTGCCAGAGTTGAAAGAGTTGTTCCTCGCGGAGAACAACATTCTGGAGATACCAGCAGAAACGTTTGCCGGTAGTTCGAGCTTATCGGTGGTGTATCTTCAACAAAACGCGATCAGGAGGATCGACGCGCGAGGTCTAGCTACCCTGAATCAGCTGGCACAGTTGCATCTCACCGGTAACTATATCGAGAAAGTACCGCGTGATTTTCTCGAGCACTGCGAAAACCTTTCGACTCTATCGCTGGACGGAAACAACATCCGGGAACTGGAGGTGGGCACATTCGCGAAAGCAAAGTCGCTGAGGGAGCTACGGCTGCAGGACAATCAGATAACCGAAGTGAAACGGGGCGTGTTCGCGCCTTTACCCTCGTTGCTGGAATTGCATCTGCAGAATAACGCGATCACGGACATGGAAACTGGCGCTTTGAGATCCCTGCACAGCCTGCAACACGTGAACCTTCAGGGTAATCTGCTCGCGGTACTGGGCGACGTGTTTCAGGTGTCGAACGAGATAGGACAAAACGGAAATACCGCCGCCGCCGCCGCCGCCGCCGCCGCCGCCGGTAGCTCGCTGGTTTCTATTCAACTGGACAATAACGGTCTTGGTGTGTTGCACAACGACTCGTTGAGAGGGCAAGCCTCGGTCAGAATCATGTGGCTTGGACACAACAGATTAACCCGTCTTCAGGCACCCCTCTTCAGGGACCTGTTACTCGTCGAACGATTGTATCTGACCAACAACTCGATCTCGCGAATCGAGGACACTGCCTTTCAACCGATGCAGGCGCTCAAGTTTCTCGAGCTGAGCATGAATCGACTGAGCCACGTGACCGTCAGAACGTTCTCAGAGTTGCACGAACTCGAGGAACTTTACCTACAGGACAACGGTTTACGTCGTTTGGATCCGTACGCTTTAACCGCTCTGAAACGGCTACGAGTACTCGATCTGGCGAATAATCATTTGAACGTGTTGCACGACAAGATCTTTCAGGAAGGCTTGCCCATCAGGACGCTCAATTTGAAGAATTGCACCGTCAGCGTGATCGAGAATGGAGCGTTCAGGGGTTTGAACAACCTTTACGAATTGAATTTGGAGCACAATCATTTGATCGCAAGAGCGTTGGATCGTTTGGACATACCAGGCTTGAGAGTTCTCAGAATATCGTACAATAATTTTAGCCAAATCGTTGCCACTTCCTTGGACGGGCTGCCGTCTCTTCAGCATCTCGCCATGGACTCGTCTCAGCTTTATAGAATGCCACCGGAAATATTTTCCAAGAACAAGAATCTGGCTAAACTTTTGCTGAGCAACAATCTTCTTCGACTGTTGCCGAGCGTTCTGTTCCTCGGATTGGAATCGTTGAAAGAAGTGAAACTGGACGGCAACAGGTTTCAAGAGATCCCTTACGAGGTGTTTGCCAATGCCACCACCGTTGAATTCTTGTCGTTGGCTAACAATGTAATCCTAAACGTGGACATGTCACGGTTAAACGGATTGGCCAGCCTGCGGGAACTCGATCTACGCGGTAATTACATCATGACCCTTTCCGGTTTCGCCGGTGTGAACCTGTCCCGTCTGATATCCGTCGACCTCAGTCACAATCACCTAACTGCTCTACCGGCTAACTTCTTCGCTCGCTCCAACTTGCTTCGAAAGGTCGAACTGGCTGGCAACAAATTTCATCACATACCGTCGGCCCTCTCCGTTCAGAATGTTCCCAATCTGGCCTGGCTAAACATGACCGGCAATCCTCTGATCAGAATACACGAGATTAGCTCGAAGCCAAAGTATCCAGCTCTTCAAGAGATACACATATCCGCAACGAATCTGACGATCGTCGCCAGCGACGATTTCGAGGCATTTCCAGCAGTGATGCACCTCTTTATGGGCAACAATGTCATCTCGCGAATATCTCCGAGCGCGTTCCGAAGTTTACTCGAATTGTTGACCCTCGATCTGAGCATGAACGAGCTGGTGCTGTTGCCGCAAGAGAGATTAAAGGGACTCGAGCATCTCAGACTGCTTAATCTGACGCACAATCGTTTAAAAGAACTCGAGGATTTCCCTCCGGATTTAAAGGCGTTGCAAATACTCGATCTGTCGTACAATCAGATCATCAAAGTGGATAAAAACACGTTTCAACATCTTGAAAATTTGGCCGAACTTCATCTCTATGGTAACTGGATTTCCTCCATCTCATCCGACGCCTTCAAGCCGTTGAAGAAATTGAGAATCCTTGATTTAAGTAGAAATTATTTAGCGAATCTACCGTTGAACGCTTTCCGACCGTTGGAGACGCAGATACGGAGTCTTCGTGCCGAAGGTATGTTTTCCTTCCACGATAATTATTAATTGCGTTGCGTTGCGTTGCTGGGAAAATATTAATCATTTTGTATACAGAAAATCCACTACACTGCGACTGTGAGTCTCAAGAGCTTTGGGAATGGCTGCGGGATCATCAGAAGCTGGTGGGTGGTGGGATGGGTCGAAATCGAGGTGGATTACGGATGAACGACATGGACAGCGGATTACTGAGGTGCCAACAGCCCCCAGAGTTACGAGGGTTGGTGTTCCTCGACCTGGATCCGCACGCTTTCTGCTCCGCGCCGCTCGTTCTGAAACTAGCGATCCAGGACATTCAACCGTTCTCTGTTCTGGTATCCTGGCAAAGCAGAAATCACTCGGGTATCCGTGGTTATCAGGTGGCTTATCGCGCCGTCGAAAACATCGACGAGGTAACGTAAAACTGTCTCGATCCTCTCAATCGGTTAAACGATACTCGACCCTAGCTTGCTTGTCTACGCAAACTATCCGCTGAAAATCAAATATTTTTTTCTTTCAAACAAAAGTTCCAGATTCGAGCGAAGGTCCTCCAACCTAGTTCGCGTTCCACGAAACTGTCGAACCTGTCTCCGAACACTCGGTACCTGATCTGCGTATTTGGAGTAGGCAACTGGTTGATGAATCAACGTCTAGACGACGACTACGACACGATGGATCAATTTAATTTCTCGAATCACGAAACGTTCGAACCATCGTCGGATATTCAAATGATCGACTCTTCGACGAGTCGCTGTACCGAGGTTAAAACGCTGGAGGCACCGGATGCTGTGATCAGCAGCGATGGTTCTTCGATGGATGATGTCGGCAGCGTGAGCAACTTCCTGACCAGACGTTTGGGTCTTATAGTCGGTTGCTGCATGGGATTCGTCGTGTTTCTGCTCCTAGTATCCGTCCTCGGTTACCTCAAGGTGAAGAAACAAAGGGAAACCGTGAAAAGGGAGCAACCTATTCCCCCGGAGTACATATCGTACAGACACTTCAGCATACAGAGCGGAGAAGCCGGTCACGCTGCCAGACAAGCCAGCCAAGCCAGCCAAGCCAGCCAAGCCAGCCAAGCCAGCCAAGCCAGCCAAGAGGGTCAACATTCGAATAACTTTATCAACAACGTGGCCACCGCTAACCTGAATGTATGAGACAAGTCAAAAAACTCCCGACTCGTGGAGGTTTCGAACGTTTGAGCAGATCGCGTCGACGACCCTACGCTCTCTCGTCAAACGCGAAACAATCCTGACTCGCGGTAGTTTTTTTTCTTGCAATTCTCCTTGTCGGTGAAAGATCGAGTCGAAAGATTGGAAACTATCCATTCTGCATCTAATAGAAACCAACAAGTTTCAAACAATTTCACGCGCGTGTCAGTGCATAGACAAATGGACCGTCTAGTTAACCGAGCATTTTATACATACGTGATTTTCTACGAATCTTAACTTTACTCGATGTAGCTTTAGCCGCGGCTAAACCGTGTGTGCGTGTGCAAAGTGAATCAATCTTTGAAAGATGAACCAGCAACTCGATTTACGTGACACGTCGGGTTCGTTGAACAATTTCACGCTTGATGAAATCTAAATGGCTCGGCAGAACCGATTCCCTCTGAAACAGAGACAATGCAACGCGGCGTTGTTTCGAGCATTTCGAGCTTCTTGAATTTCCGATCGCAACGGGGTTCTCTTTGCTTGGACGATGACGAATCGAGCCCCGTCAGAACGATCGCGAACGTGTTTGTACATAAGTGGTTAGGAAGAAGAAGGATTTCAATCGTTCGACAAACATTCGACGACCTCTTCGTTTAGTAAACGTAGTTCAGTTAGGATCAGAAGCATTGATTCCGCTTGCTCTCTCGAGTGTAGAAACACTTTTGGCCGAAAAGTAAGAGAAGAGAAGAAAGAAAAGAAAAGAAAAGAAAAGAAAAGAGAAAAAAGCAAACATTTCGTGTTCGGGCATCCGTTGATAGTTTATACATTGGCGATTCGTTGAAACGAACAATTCAGATATTTGTTGTACCATAGGTTAACCACAGATGTTATCGGAGATACCTACAAGGGAAATTTAGATCCCGCCATTGCATAAATGTCCAGCGAATTGCGGTTCGGCTGATAAAGAGAAAACCGATCTCGGTCGCCATACACCAGAATACAGTCGGTCGAATGAAATGTGTATCGTCGGCGTTCGATTGCATCGCGAAGAAAAACATCTCATCGTCAGTCAGTCAGATGTATATCGCGCACTGTCTACTGTAACATATACGTACGTACGTCACTGTAATAAAAGTGCAAATTCTTTTTTAATCGAAAATTTTCTCATCCACGGAAACTCTGTTCATCGAATCTCCTCCTCCTTCAATTAACTCTTAATTCATTTAACAATTAAATCAATTATTATCTTTCCAACCAACGAAAAGTCGATAAATTGTAAAAAAAATTCTGAACCACTAACAATACAAGGGTAATCGGAATCTTTAAAGCTATTTCGGCTTTCATCCCTCTACCCGCAATCCCGTTTCCGCTCAGCAGCACGTCTCAACGAAACGCTTCCCGTCTCCTTTATCGTATTTCCTTGTAATTAACCCCTCCTGGCCGCCCGTGCCGCTATTTCCACGGCAAAGAGAAGACTTTCTGCATATTTCATTGGTCGCTGCGTTGGCGCTTCTGAGCAGACCGAAAGACTGTCGGGTTCCGGAATCGTAAAGGCCAGTGACCGGTGACTCGACCAATTCAAGCCGAAATACAACACCGAAACGAATCTTTCTTTTCGATCGTTCAAATAAATTCAAACGAAGAAACTATTGAAATTTACAAAACAACAATATGACAGCTATCCTTTTGACACGATAACGAAGAGAGGAAGGAAAAGAGATGCGGTTTTACATTTACAGAAAACAGAAAATCATGACGAAAAAAGCGTGCAAAAACGTGTGCAAAAGTCGGGGCCAGTGTACACATTTTTCTCGGCTGATAGAGCTGTCCAAACGTCTCCCGTTTCGCTCTTTAATCTCGTTTGACGCGGGCTTCAGCGACCCGCCAACGTGTATGCTTCGTTCTAAATGGACGTCATTAATCGCGGTCACGTGAAAACGCGCCAATGCTTCCGGGAAAAAAAACGTTGCATGAAAAGTAACATTACAACAAGCAGAGAAATTTCCTTTCCTTCCTCAACAACGCATCAATTCTTTCATTTACAATTGCACGAATAAAAAACTTATCAATCGATGATAACACGAAATGAAGACGTTTCTTTTAATAAAAGAAACCTCTCCAGTTTAAATTGCAAATTTCTTTCGAATTTTCTATAGAAAATATAAAACGTTGGACATTTGGTATTCACAGGTTTCCTGGTTCTTTGCACAAATGCAACGATCCTCCCGGTGGTGAAATTAACGACGTTGTTGTAAATTCTTACGTAAAAGCGCGACAAGCAGAAGGCAGAAAGCAGAAGGCAGAAGGCAGAAGGCAGAAAGCAAAAGGTAGACGACAGACGGTTTCGGATTGCGCCAAGAGGATGTGACGAGAAGAATCGTGGAACAACGTTGGAAGAAACCCTCTCGAGTCTCGGTGCTTCAGAAGCGTCGCGCGGAACGAAGAGCAGAGACGAGTAAAAACAGAACGTGTCTGTTACAAGACAAGACGTGGAAACGCGTGGAAGCACGAGCGGTTGCTTTCGACGCCCACTGAAATTGTTTAAAGCACTTTTAAACGTTTCAAAATACCTAGAAACCTTTTTCCTCGGACGAGAAACAAACGATTCTTCCACGAATCGAGGGAAAACTTTCAAAGACAACGATTATTTATAAAAGTTTAAACAAACAACTTCAATTTTTTACTCTCGTATTGATTGTCATTTCGATAGCTAAGTTTCGTAAAATTTCTAACGTGTTTCATGAAACTAGCTTAATTACTTTGACCAAGCTGAATAGGAACGAACTGATAGAAGGAGTATCAGAAACTCTTCGTATTTATCAATCAGCATCTAAAAGAAAAAAGTTTCCAATAAGCTACAGCTTCTGAAGGTTCTTTGAAAAACAATTGTCAGGAAAGAAGGCCATAACATAGCAAGCAATAGCAATTGTCATAGGTAAAAGTAACGCTTTCAGTGCTAGCACGAATCGATATTTTTCCCCGTTGGTCCACATAATTCTCTTCTTCGCAATTTCGATTACGTCCGAGACTTTTTCAAACGAACGAAATTGAACTGCGCGCGTTTCAGCCAGAAAGCCCTGAGCCGAGATCACGTAACCAGCTAAAATCACGTAGTTCAATCGTTTATCATGATCATTGATCTGTTCCAATCGAAACCATCTCCACTTCACCATCCTAAACTTTCTGCTCAAATATTCTACCTAGTTTCCAGCTCACTTCCAAGTAATTTTCTACAATCTACCATCAAAATTCACTTCCTCTGATGAAAATACTATTTAAAAAAAACTAAATTAAATTAACTAATGTAACATTTCAATTCCAACTATTCGAGAAATTTAAGTAAAGTCCGTGTATCAAAGAAATTAAACATGAAATTAACCGTCTTCAGGTTGCCCCACATTAGTTAACCGTTAGAATTATAACAATCTTCCTTCTACATCCCCACTTTTACTACCGTTAATTAAGTTATTAGTTTGACTTTCTGATTCTGAATTTCGTACCGATTTCCAAAGTTTTAGATCATGGAATTTGATCGATAGCCCACCATTACGATCAACGCCAACACGTATGTATGTACATAGATACATAGATACATAGATACGGTGTGGGACACAGAAAGAGACAAACCTAAACCCCGGCGGAAATCAGGTCCGGATAGATATAGATGTTGTTTCGATTGCAGCACATGCTTTGCCGCGATTAAGTCCCAGCTACGGAATTACCCTTCCATCGTAAGACGGATTTGTGCTTGCTACTGGTTGAAATGCTGCTGGTGTTACACGTGCAATTCGTAGTCGACGCGTTTCGAAACGACCATGTTCTGCGGATCGGGAATCGGCTGTTCCATCCTCGATACCGAACAGACGGGATATTCAGGCTATCCGAAACAACTGGGTTGGTTCTTGATACGCTTCTACCATATAATTCCCCAATATAATTGAAATAGAGACCCAAGGCAAGATGGGCATAGCCTTCTTTAAGAAATTTCACTGTCAAATACTGCATTAACAATTTAACCATCGTCATAAAGAAACCAATAAAGAAATCAACTTTCTGCAGTGCAGTAAGGGCAATTTTGCTTTGTAAACGGAAAGAAATTAACAAGTTTTACCGTCTGCGAGAAACTAATTCCGGCAAGTTAAATAAAGTTCAAGTACGATTAAACTCCGTCGAGTACTGAAAACAAATTTCGTAGATTGTCAAGAAATTTTTTCTTGATCAACATCATTAAATTTACAGATGAAAGTAACAAGAAATTAACAAATGAAGCAGTTGAAGCAACTGCAACATATCGCGTCGAAACAAATTGCTTTGTTTCTATATTTCAAACAAACATTTTCAATAAATCACGAGTAGAAATTTCTATAGCTATTCATGATGCAGAAACAATCAGAAATACAATAGGTTAGCGATACGACACGGTTTCTGTATTACATTTAGCGGTTACCGATCTCATAACTAGAACAGTGAAGGGGTTTAATATCGATCCCAATAACAGATATGCCGAAAACCGCAAGAAGCCCACCATAACATTGTCGAAACAAGTGCCCCTTTCAAATTGCAAATTTTCAAACTGTTACGAAACTGTTACGAATTTCCTAATCCAACATTTCAACGTCTATAATGTCTATAATTAACAGCATAATAATAACAACTGGCGAAAATAATGATTTTCGTTGCCTCCTTTTCAATTGATTGCATTTTTACCGAAACAATCCGACGTTAAAGGGTTTTATTTCGTTTAATTTCCTCCTGGGAACAATATCTTCGGCGACGCGACTCGCATAATATAATCAGCGCATCGGTGCTGCACGCTACGTAATGGCCAACTAAATATTATCCCCCCTGGCAGGCGAAACGTTTCAACGTTTCAATAGTTTTTAATATAACATAGTTTAGCTTTGTATTTGCAGCTACGGAAAATTGCCGTGCTTCTTTCCTTCCTTTTCTTTCTTTACTTTTTAATTTTCGTCCAACCATCGCATCGCCAGAAAACGAGTAACGTGCATTATTCGTATTATTCTGCAGTCCAGTGATGCGACATTTATGGGAAGATTAAAAAACAGGTTGTTATCTGTGCCGAGAATATAAACGCGTCGCATCATTCGGAAATTATAGTAGCAACGATGGAATCGAATTAATGCAAATATTCTATTTCTCTCGGGGAAATTTATGTGCATCGTTCGAGCGATTTTCAGACTGCAAATGAAACATGATTCAACGTCTATCAACAGAACGTATGTATGTGCACGTTTTCACATGATATCAGGCAAATGCCTTTTACGATATTAAACTCTATATTTCTAACAGAAAAATAATTGCAGTTTTTAGTAAAAACGAACAATTACAATTTACGCGAAAGAACAGTTTCATTGATTTAATATTTTTTACAACATAAACATGAAAATTTATCAGGTTGGTTGGTTTAGTGAAAATTGAATTATTTGTGTACCAACCTAATACCGCTGATGGCTGATACCTGAATTGTTGAGGCATTTAAGAGAAACTAAGAGAAATCATCGTAGATATTTTGCTCGATTATTTTAGCCTCGATTTCCCAAGAGATAGAGCGATGAATCTAATCGAATTCCGAATAGTTAACGCCACGCTGGCCGCAAACGACGCGACGCGACGCGACGCGACGCGACGAACAGCATCGATCGTGAACGCAACGCTCCAAACTCTAAACCAACGAAAATTCAATTGCCGATCTCGATCCGCGGCTCTTATCTACCTACGTGAATTCAAACTCGGTGCAGGTCGAACGCGCAACGATTACGAAGACAAACGGGCGAACGCGAAGCCGAGATGAGCAGAAACAACAGCAGAGACAAGTATCGGAATATCAGTACCGTGTCGAAAATCAAATTCACCGGGCGTGCACGAGAATATTTCTACCAAGCCACTAAGAACGTGTGGCGTAAGCCTTCAAACAAGCCGAACAACTTGAAGAACAATCTCAATTATCGTATTCCATGATAACAGCGAGTTAACGCGTCGTTTATCGCTGAAATCCCAATAAAGTCGCGTCGCGTCGCGTCGATACCTTGCTGTTCACCGGTTTCGCAGCCAGACTAGCCAAAGTTTTCGCGAATTTCGCGATCTATCGCTCCACCGATTCGAGCCAACGATTTACAAACAGAAGTAAAAGG